TCATCATGTCAAACGGTTATATTTTTATTTTATGCACTTGGCGTCGCGACGCTATCGCGTCGCTTGATATTTATTAATAATATAATGTTATTATATATATAAATATTAAAATTGAAATATTGAAATATAGAGATATGTTCGTCGTCGAGGAAATATAAGTGTCTACGTGTTTGATTTCGAGGAAGTAAGTGTCTAGGTGTTCGCCTTCGTGGAAATTGGTATCTACGTGTTCGTCTTCGAGGAAGTGAGTGTCTAGGTGTTCGCCTTCGAGGAAGTGAGTGTCTAGGTTTCGCTGTCGAGGAAATGGATTTCTAGGTATTCGCCGTCGAGGAAGTGGGTGTCTACGTGTTTGATTTCGAGCAAGTGAGTGTCTAGGTGTTTGCCTTCGAGGAAGTAAGTGTCTAGGTGTTCGCCTTCGAGGAAGAAAGTGTCTAAGTGTTCGTTTTCGAGGAAGTAAATGTCTAAGTGTTCGCCGTCGAGGAAATGGGTTTGTTTGTAAGAAATGTCGTCGTCGTCGTCGTCATTGTTGTCAGCTACAGAGTGAGGAAATGCATTTTGGAATTTTTGGCGCAAGAGATAAATGTGGTCGCGACGCGTATCTATAAATCTATAATATCGATCGCTGGGACCTGTACGATCGTCAAAGACAAATTATTAAGAGTCTCGGCAATAACAACCAAAGAATTGAGGTTAGTAAATCAGTCACATCGATAGCATAGACGAACACGTAAGTGAGGTTAGAATAAATATCGATCTCTGCGATCTGTACGATCCTTAAGTCGGATAAAGAGTCTTAGCAATAACAACGGATTAAGATTAGGAAATCTGTTACATCGATGGCATAGAATAGACGAACACGTAAATGAGGTTAGATATTTTCTGCTTTATTACACAAATTCTCTGCAGTAATTCAGCTGTAAGAATACAAATTATTTTCTATATAATTATTTTCTTTTTACAGCATTTGGTTAGGTTACTTATTTACCGAAACACTACCGTATCTCCAGATCTGTTATTTATTTGTTTGGTAGATACCTTAATTTGTATTCTCTATTCCTTATATAATCATAAAAAAATTGATTCTTTGTACTTTGCTGATAGGAAAAGTCTGAAAAGAAAAAAGGTGCCGATTTTGAAGACTCTTGCCTTTTCTTTTCAGGATTTTCCCTAAATCTGAAGATAAAATACAACACAAAGAATCAATTCTTTTATAATA